GCCGAGGCCCAAGCAAGCCAAACGCTTGGGACGCCTGTTGTGTCCGAGACCAAAGCAGGAGGTCTCCGAATGGGATCCCACCGTAGGAGGAGGCACCGAGCCACCGAGGCCCAAATGAACGGCCCCAGACCCACTAGAGAAACCCCTCCCAGATTTGGAGCTGCCTCCTGACCGCTTAGCCGACCCTCAAATAACGGGCACGGGCCTCCACCTGACTTCACCCGATAATCACCACCGAAGTGCCATCGCCACGGCCACCGAGGGTAGCGTGGCACATTCCACCCCTCCTTCCCGAGCTAAAAGGGAAGCGCGAGGGTCGAATAAAAGTCGAGAATCCCCGACGGCCCTCTTGTCTTCGCAAGAGGCTAAGGGACTCTTCCCCGCAAAACGCTGCCGAGGCCCAATGACTTGAGTTCGCATTACGAGGGTCTCTGCAAAACCAACCCTCCTTCCGAGCGAAAAAGAAAGCGAGGGTCGCTCAAAAGCCTAAGAACTCCCCGACGGCCCTCTTGCTCCGCAAGGCAGAGGCTAGGGAGCTCCTTCTCGCAAAAACGCCGAGACCTCATGACCTAGGCTCGCACCCGAGGGGGCCTCAGCAATGACCTCACGCGAGAGGGGCTAACCAAAGCTGGGGGACCTTCCGACCGCCTTCTCGCCTGCAGGCGAGACTCCTGGGCTCTCCCCGCAACTTTGCCGAGACCCAAATGGCTCAGTTTCACGACGAGTGGGCTCTGGTAATGCCCCCCGTCCGAGCGAAAAAGGACTTCAAGGGATCGGCAAAAAGACGGAGGATTCTCGACCGCCTCTCTCCTGCGCAAGCGAGGCTCGGGGCTCTTCCCGCACCCAAGGTAAAAACAAGCGACCCGATCCTGCACGGTCTGTGGTTCAAGGTCGGGCCCTTAGGGGTTTTCGGACACCGCCTCAGTGGCAACAGAGCTGTGGGCACCACGGGCGAGCCTACACAGTTAAGGCCCAAGCAAGCTAAAACGCTTTGGGACGCCTGTGTTGTGTCCGAGACCAAAGGAGGTCTCCGAATGGGATCCCACCAGTAGGGAGGCACCGAGCCACCGAGGCCCAAATAACGGCCTCGCAGACCCACTAGAGAAACCCTCCCAGACTTTTGAGCGCTGCCTCCCGACCGGCTAGCCGACCCTCAAATGAACGGGTACGGCCTCCACCACTGACTTACTCCGATAACAGCCACCGGTGCCATCGCCACGCCACCGAGGGTAAAGCGTGGCACATTCCACCCTCCTCCCGAGCGTAAAAGGAAGCGAGGGTCGAATAAAAGTCAAGAGAATCCCCGACGGCCCTCTTGTTCGCAAGTGCAGGCTAAGGGACTCTTCCCGCAAAACGCTGCCGAGGCCCAAATGACTTGAGTTCGCACACGAGGGGTCTCTGCAAAACCAACCCTCCTTCCGAGCGAAAAAGAAAGCGCGAGGGTCGCTCAAAAAAGCCTAAGAACTCCCGACGGCCCTCTTGTCCGCAAGCAGAGGCTAGGGAGCTCCTTCCGCAAAAGACGCCGAGACCTCATGACCTAGGCTCGCACCCGAGGGGGGCTCGGCAGCCGACCTCACGCGCAGAGGGCGAACCAAAAGCTGGGGGACCTTCGACCGCCTTCTCGCCCCAGCGGCGAGAGACTCTGGGCCTCTCCCCCAGAACTTTGCCGAGACCCAGCGGCTCAAAGCTCGCACACGAGTGGGCTCGGCAATGCCCCCCGTCCGAGCTTAAAAGGACTCAAGAGGGTCGTGGCAAAAAGCCGGAAGAACTCCCGACGGCCCTCTTGTCTGCAAGTGCAGGCTAGGGAGCTCCTTCCGCAAAGACGCCGAGACCTCATGACCTAGGCTCGCACCCGAGGGGGGGCTCTTGCAGCCGACCTCACGCCACAGGGGCGAACCAAAAGCTGGGACCTTCTCGACCGCCTCTCGCCCGCAGGCGAGACTGGGGCTCCTCCTCCGCAACTTTGCCGAGACCTGGGCGGAAGCTCAGTTCTCGCACACGAGTGGGCTCAAGAACAGCCCTGGTCCGAGCGGGTAAAGGACGGGCGAGGGTCGGCAAAAAAGCCGGAAGAACTCCCGACGGCCCTCTTGTCTGCAAGCGCAGGGCTAGGGAGCCCTTCAAAAAGACGCCGAGACCTCATGACCTAGGCTCGCACACCCGAGGGGGCTCGGCAATGACCTCACGCCATGAGGGGGCGAACCAAAAGCCGGGGACTTCGACCGCCTCTCGCCTGCAGGCGAGACTCTGGGGCTCTCCCCGCAACTTTGCCGAGACCTGGCTCAGCTCGCAGACACGAGTGGGCTTCTGCAACAGCCTGGTCCGAGCTTAAAAGGACGGGCGAGGGTCGTGCAAAAAGCCGGAAGAACTCCCCGACGGCCCTCTTGCTCCGCAAGTGAGGCTAGGGAGCTCCTTCGCAAAAACGCCGAGACCTCATGACCCAGGCTCGCACCCGAGGGGGGCTCGGCAATGACCTCACGCCATGAGGGGCGAACCAAAAGCTGGGGGACCTCTCGACCGCTTCTCTCGCCTCCGTGGCGAGACTCTGGGGCTCCTCCCCGCAACTTTGCCGAGACCTGGGGCTCTCAGCTCGCACACGAGTGGGCTCGGCAAACAGCCCCCCATGTCCGAAAGCGAAAAGGACGGGCGAGGGTCGTGCAAAAAGCCTAAGAACTCCCGACGGCCCTCTTGCCCGCAAGAGGCTAGGAGCTCTCTTCCGCAAAAGACGCCGAGACCTCATGCGACCTAGGCTCGCACACCGAGGGGGGCTCTCGGCGGTCCTCACCTCACGCGGGGCTAAATCAAAAGCCGGGGACCTCTGGACCGCTCTCTCGCTCCTCAGGCGAGAGACTCCTGGGCTCTCCCAAACTTTGCCGAGACCCAGCTGCTCAGCTCGCACACGAGTGGGCTCGGCAAAAGCAGCCCCCGGTCCGAGCGAAAAGGACGGCGCGAGGGTCGTGCAAAAAACCGAGAACTCCCCCGACGACGGCCTCTCTCCGCTCCAAAGTGGAGGCTAAGGGCTCTTTCCGCAACATCGCCGAGGCCCCGCGATCCGAACTCGCACTCCACGGGCCCGGCAAACACGATCAAAACGCCTCACTGAAGAGAAAAAGCCCCAAGAAGTGAAATCACCCTCCAGGCCTCGAGAAGACACGGGCCAGGGCCACACAAGCCTCCACCGAAACCTCGGGGAAAACACCATCCCGACAGAGCTATCAAGAGCCAATTCTCGTCGAACTCTGGGGAGGCTTCCACTCCCCCAAGGCTCGAGGGCTACTTGTCTTGATACCGTGAGAAGGGGCACCCTAAGCAAGATCCAAAAACGCATCGCTTAGATTTCAGAAGACCGAAACCAGCTAATAGCTGCTGGCCTCGGCGATTCTCCGACTCGCCTGAGGCCCCATCATCACCGGCCTCGGCGATTCTCCGACTCGCCCGAGGCCTCATCATCACGGGCCTCGGCCGATTCTCCGACTCGCCCGAGGCATCATCACTGCAGACCTCACCGATTCTCCGATTCGCCCGAGGCCCCTCACACCGCGGGCCTCGGTCGATTCCGCCAGAGGCCTCGGCCGAGGCCACCGACCCTCCGATCGCAAGCAAAGGCGGGCTCGGCAAGACGCCGCTACTCTTCCTTCTCCCGTCCCTTCCGCAAAACGTCGTGGTCGCGTCAACTCGACCAGCTAATCGCCGCTTCGACAATACCGCATGCCTGCATGACAAGACAAATGGCGATGGCCGATGGAAGAGAGATGAGCCGCATAGGGGTTACCCGCCACAGCACTAACCCCCCTGCACGTGGTTGACGCCCATGCCTCACTGTCTTCCGCCAACTCCTGCCCCAAGGACAACGCAGCATGGGGAGCCACGCGTCTGAGCCATCGTGGCCTCGGAATCGCACCCAGAGCAATAATTCCCTCCAAGGCCTCGGCAGCTCGCTCCAGGGGCTCGACAAATCCGAGGACCCATGTCCGCCAAAGCCCCATGATGGCTTGGCCTCGCACCTACAGAGCCCACGGCCCCCCACGACGTCATCACGCGATGACTGCCGCGTCCGGATCAAGTAGGGTTACCCGTCACTATGCTATCCATCGTACACATAGTTGACACCCATGCCTCACTTTGTCCGCCAACTCCTGCTCCAAGGACAACGCGGCATGGGGAGCCACGTCTGCCTCTGTGGCCTCGGAATCGCACCGTGGCCAATAACTCCCCCAAGGCCTCGACAGCTTTGCTTCACGGGCCTCGGCAACTGAGGGTCCATGACCACCGAGCCCCCCACGATGGCTCGGCCTCAGCATCTGCAGAGCCAGCTTCTCTCCTCGACGTCATTACACGGCGACCAAGACGTCGCCCACCACGCCCCGCATCAAGCCGTCATCTGAGCCCCACGACGCGCGCAGAAGACCGAAGTCTCGACCAAAGATGTCACTTCCGCACGACGACAAGGACGGGGCACTCCATCGACCATACCACAACAAGAGTCGACTCATGGGGCTCTGGACACGCCACCCCATTTTACGAAGCGCTATGTAGCACCACATGCGACGATCCCGGTCCTCCCTTAGAGTATAAAAGGGAGGGACTGGGGCCATTTCTAGGGGAGCAAAAAAGACGAACACGCCGATAGAACCACGCACTCCTACGCCGCTTGGGAACAACGCCTCAAGCAGCCCGCACCACACTCGCCGAGACACAGGGGGCTAGTTCCTCTCTCACCAGCTTGTAACCCCTACTACGAGCACTCCGGTGCAAGGAATACAAGATCGATCTCTGACCGGGCGTAGGGCCTCGATTGCCTGAACCAGTATAAACCTTGTGTCTCTTTGCGCCACCATCCGGGATTAGGGGCACGTAGCACAAATTCACTCGTTGGTTGAGGGACCCCCGGTTCCAAAACACCGACAGTAGGTTTATCTTGATTAATTATCTCCCGTAAGCAAGCTATACTGCTACTCCATTTCACACGGTGACTTGGACGACCATGGGAGCGCAGCCTTTTTTGCCTTTTTTCACACGGTGCACGTCTCCCCTTCTGCACCACCTCGTAATTCGCGAAGATTTTGCGATGTGGAAACGCCCATCATCTGAAATTAATTGGCCACCTGTCTCGCCAGATCGTTCAATTGGTGTACTCCGTACTAGTGAGCTCTTTTTTCCTCATTTCCTGACGCTGCTTGCAGATCGGTTCCAGCACCTCCGCGTGACCGATAGGTCGCCGACGAAGCCGCCCCTGGCGCTGCCCCAACTGAGCCACAAGCAGTACGCGGACAGCTACAGAGACGACGCCGTAGAGGATCGGGAGGACGACGAGCTGGGGTACTCGTACCACCACCGCCGGACGGCGTCGTCGGGCCGGCTCGTCGCCGCGCGAGTCGACAAGGCCGCCGTCTCGGCGCGCACCACCAGCCGGGCCCGCCCCGTGGAGCTCCCCGTCGAGGAGACCTCGCCGCCGTCCTCGACCTCCTCGGACAAGCCGCCGCTGCCGCAGCAGCAGACGGGGCGGCGGGCCTCCGACCTGCTGCAGGAGCCCGTCGAGCCGACCCGTCCCGGGTCAATGCTGCTGCAGCTCATCGCGTGCGGATCGACGGTGTCGGCCGCGGCAGGCGGCGGCGGTGGCTCGGGCAAGTGCCGCGCCGAGCCGAGGCGGAGCTGCGGCCTGGTGAGCCGGCTCACGGCCCGCGGCGGCGCGGACGAGGACGAGGACGACGAGGAGGATGAGGCGGCGGCGGCGGCGGCGGCGGGGACCGACCTGGGCCGCCGGTTCGGCCACCTCGCCGTGGAGAACAAGGAGTACTTCAGCGGCAGCATCGTGGAGGGCGCCGGCGGCGGGGACACGGCGTCGTAGCGCACAGCACAGTCTGTCACTGCACGCTTACAGGCTGACAAGGTAGAGTTACAAGTACTGTACTGTTACCTGTAGGACACGTACAGTAGGATAAGGCTACGCGTGCTTACGCACGCTGTCGCGTGATTACTGTTTGGCGTTTGCAGGCGGCATTTAGTGTAGCTAGCTAGCTGGAATACTCGTGGTAGGAAGGGACGATGACGATTGCATGGATGATTCATTCTTGTTTTTAACTTTTCATCCAGGAGTTGTAGGCGAGGAGACGATGGATGAGCAGATGGAAGGCGACGGAGGGATCAGGGAAGATGCATCATCCCAGGGAGGAAGAAGACGCCGCCACCGCCGCAGAAATAGGCCACCAGGAGCACCTCCCATTCTCCATCAGATTTGCAGGAAACTAAACGCATCTGGCCCAACCTTTGTGTGTAACGCAAATCTTGATTTGAGCACTAGCGTAGCGTGTTTAGCATATTTGTATAGCTAATGTCGTTGAGGGCATGCACGGGAGATTGTTAACTAGGGGATGAGTACTGAGTTGTGTTAGTGTTGAAATCAAGGCCTCGTTTAGATTGTAAATTTTTGTAATCTGGACACTGTAGCACGTTTCGTTTGTATTTGACAAACTTTGTCCGATCATGGACTAACTAGTCTCAAAAGATTCGTCTTATGATTTACAACAAAACTATGTAATTAGTTATTTTTTTTATCTATATTTAATGTTTCATGCCTGCGTCTATAAATTGATGTGACGAAGAGAGAGTGAAAAAACTTGGAATTTTGAGACAATCTAGACCAGGCCAAGGTTGAATCCCTGCCGTGGAGACTGGTGAGTCGTCGGCTATCAGAGATGCGCGATGGCCCATGTAGGACTGGATGCGATGCATGAGTCATGATGCTGCCATTCATGGCAGGATGCTGTCGTGCCCCGTGCTTTTCTGACGATGTTCGGCTGACGCTGACGTTGATTTGTTGCCGGAGGAAATACTGTTACCGAAACGTTACTGCTGACGTTGATTTGTTGCCAGAGAAAATACTGTTACTGAAACGGTACGGTCCAAGTGAACAGGGTCTCGACGGCTGACGCAGCGGCCATCGCCTCCTGCTCACTGCAAGGAGCCAGCGTACCAGCGGGCAGGGCTTTTCTTTGCGACGCGCTGCCACTCCACTCTGCCACGGAGCCAGGCTATAGGAGTAGTATATGTTTGCAACATTGCAATGGTCTGCGCGCGGAACCATCTTGCCTCGCAACATTTGCTAGCCCGTGCAGGTATCTGGAGGTGCCACCGAACGTACGAATATATATATGGGCCGAAAAAGAGGTCGGGCTTGACAGCCGGGCTCGAGCCTACTCCCTCCGTGTATAGGTTCAAATCAGAATTACGTTTTTTTCTGGACGCATGGAGTAAAACCTTTACGCAGCCTACCAGTTTCACTTTAGAACCCATTTAAATCAAAGTTTTTTCTTACGTTCAATAAAAAACCCAAAGCTTTTCAAAGGAATTTTTCGTAGGAATTGCAATCCTCAATTGACGCGGGCCAATCGGAGGCGCAGGAAACCAGAGGTAGCGATTGGAATCAGGCCACCGTCATCGAAAGCCGTTATCTTTTTTTTTTTTTTTTTTTATCGAAGCCGTTATCTTGTTTGAGAAGTTGCTGATACCATGCGCCGGCTGCGTAGTTGACTGTATCCACAAATTAATGTTAAAGGACTACAAGAGTTATTTTTAAAGTCTAAAGTGGGTTAGCAGGACCAGAACCCATTGACCAAACATGTAAGATGGGTAAACTCAATCGTCACATACTAGTTTTTTTTTAATTTGTTGGTTTCTTCCCTTTTTTAAATAAACAAGGTTGGTCATAACTTGTAAGCATGCCTATAGTCGAAAGAAGCTAGAGGAATATCATGGTTAACTTCAAAAATTATTCAATTTAATACATTGCTAATAATCTTAATGTGTTGTCATGATACTTTTTAAACTTTTATCTCATCTTTTGCAGATTTGTCATAGTATTCACAACCCATGACAACAACAACAAAAAATTATGTGTACTTAACTATGGATTTTTGCTTGTTCAATACCAATGGTTTAGTAGTTTATTAATTTTTAACTGAAATCCAGACACAATAGTTCAGGATTTGGCACAGTGAGCCTTTGCAACATTAACCATGCATATAAATGATCAAGTAGCCATGCTCATGTTCACGTTGGCACCTTGTTATTTTTTATTGACCGAATGAATAGAGGTGATGTGGTTGTAGTTAAACTGCATAATACTTGTAGCTTCATTATCGTTTTTTTGTAGGATCATTATCGTTAAATTAAAGATTTAGCTTGCCTAACATTATTAACCACCAGTTAAGGGTATAATGTAAAAATATGCTTGGATGCAGCCAGTTGCCCATCGTACTAGGTACTACCGTTTGTATATGTATACATTAAACAAGTTAACAACTCGTTACCACTGGTGTAAAGTCCATGAACTTGCTGATCCCAGCACAAGTGAGCGACACATCGTTCTCCCGTGCCTTTCAGCCCAGGTATCGTTAGTCTCGTTCTCGTCTCACCTGGAGGCTGGAGCTGGAGGCATATTATCGAACAAATAAGTCGTTGTTACCACTGGGTAGCGTGTACGTTTTTGTAAAGACAGGTATATGGCTACAGATCTCCAAGCACATACATGAATCGAGCAAAGAATGTATATGGCCACAGATCGAGGAACACAAAAGTGTCACGTACGTATATTCATGGGCTCAAGCTTGCGAGCCGACAGCGTCGAGGTAGTCAGGTAGCGAAGCGTCTCCTCTCCCCAGCTGAGAGCATATTCATATCAGGTACATACAACGATCCAGCCGCAAGGGGCGCGCGCTTGCCCTCCTGTCGTACCTCCGATCCTGAGCTACGGTGGAGTCCAATATAATCTCCAACGCCCCAAGCAGAAACCAGATGGATCGCAGGAGCTTCGCAGCCTGCTATTCCAGATCGAGTTTCTCGTACGTCTATCACAAATTCACAACAGGGCGGGATAAGAAAGGAATATGCAATCAGGAACCATCAAGTTTAAATGGTTTGCATACTTCATCAATTAGATGTTTTTTTTTAAACAAAGCATTGGAAACATATAGTAACATGTGGACTTTAAAGAACAAAGCATTTGAAACACAGAGCCAATGTTTTCAAATCGTCTAGTCGAACCTAGTCGCCATGGGACCGACCAGGCGACTAATCGCGATTACTCGTCGACCAGGCCGATTAGTCTAGCAGAGTGGATTGCTTCTCTTTCATTTGGAACAAGAGAATAGCAGAGGGACAGCAGTACAACACAGCAGGCAACCTAGCAATCTAGCAGAGAGCCAGAGAGGCTGCAGAGTGAGGGATGGGGGAGGAGGGAAGAAGATGGAGAGGGGAAATGCACATACCATCGTCGGAGCAGCTCATCACGAAGACCGCGACCACTTGACCTGGCAGAGGGCGCCGTTGGCTTCATAGCTCACCAGAGAGGAGAATAGTGTGCGAGGGAGGAGAATAGCACATGAGGAAGGGGAATAGCTCACGAGAGAGGGAATTGCGCACGGAAAGGGGAGGAATCGCGCATGGGAGAGTGGAGGCGCACAGGGAAAAATTGCAGCCGCCCTGCGTTTGCCATGTGCCTACGGTGTTTTGGGTGCCTATTCTAACTCTAATAGACCAAATTGGAAGGCCAATAGGCCACATATAGGCCTGGTGGAACAGGCCCAAAAAAAACAGAGCAGAGCAACCACACTGGTCGTCCATGGCTTAGTCGATTAGTCGTCGACTAATCGGACGATTAGCTTTCTGGTCGAACTAATCGAGTCGGACCTCAACTAATCGGACGACCAGCTTTCTGGTTGAGCTAATCGAGTCAGACCTCCTAATCGAATACCAGGGACCGATTAGGACGAGTAATCACGATTAATCGGACGACTTGAAAACATTGCGCATAGCATGTGGACAACAATCCCTTGCAACGCACACAAAATCATCTAGTCTAGTATAGTATATTTATGCCACATTAAGCACGTGCGGACCACCACATCACTACGAGTTTGAAATGCATGACTACAAAATTTGATGTAGTTCAAATTTGTGTGCCCGTAGCAACGCACAGGACATTGCCTAGTTGTTGATCAGGTATATGGACACGTCTAAATGCAGTTGCAATGACTCTTACTTCCGTCCATTGCTCAAAAAAGAGTTTCTGCCCCCACCATTCTTACAAGCACCAGGCGCTGGCAACCCCGTCTCCACGTCTAAATGCAGTTGCAATGACTCTTTACTTCCGTCCATTGCTCAAAAAGAGTTTCTGACCTTCACCATTCTTCCAAGCACCTCGCACCGGCAACCCCGTCTCTGGGCCTTGTGATTCCCTATCAGGACGTTCAGGGCTTGCACTAGGGCGACTTAAATCAAGCGTGGCTAATGAGTTGTCACCTAAACGAGCTCTGAGAAACTTTGATGTCTTCTTTGGTTGCTTATTGCCTCCTCCCTTGCCTGTGTTATCTTTGGCACCAGATGAACTGTCCAGATTAGATGAAGGTCCAGCTGCCAGTTGGACCCCCTTGGACGGTCGATACCCATCCTTCGACAGCACCTCAGCCTCTCCTTCCTGAGCCTGGTGGTTTGATTGAAGACTTCTTACAGTGTCCAGAATGTTATCTGCTAGTGCACCACCCTTCACATCATTAGCAGCACTTCTTTCTGTGACAGGAGCTTTCCCCTTCCCCTTCTTTTTACGGTTGCCCTCTTGTGAGCTAGTTCCACCTCCATTTTCTTGGAGGCTTTTAAACCGTGTATTTGTATAATATGCATCAGCAAGTTCCCTCTGTTTTTGAGGATCAGGTAATAGCCTAGCCATTTCAGGAACAAGGTGTGAGAGTCCAAACTGCTCGACATATGAAAGATACTCCGAAGTATCTATTATACCTTGACGGTATTCACCAGCAATCTCTTTGAATGCAGAGTACCTGTCCTCATCCATTCCCAGAGCTGAACGCATTCTTTCAACCAGAGATTTGTTTGCAGCACGGACATCCTCTGCAACAGGCAAAGTTTGGTTACCTTGAGGAGGATCTTGACTTCTGTTGCTACCATAAGCTGAACTTGATGATGCTTGGGCAGAGGAGCCACCAGGCACAAGATTAGGCGTAGAAACAGAGTGCTTCATCTTGTTTGTAGCAACAGGATTCCACACTGTGTTACTGGAGACAGCTGGCATGGACCCAATCTCTCTTGTTGGTTGAGTTCCAGATCGAAGCTGAGAAGATCCAGAGAGTAGCCCCTGATCAGGTGTAGGCCATGTCTGGGTGGAACTAGAGAGGACTTCAAGATTTTCAGAGGGACGAGGCCGAGCAGTATTAAGTACCTTCACAGGGCCCTTGCTACGTTGTTGAAGTCTTGCTGCAAGTGTGCTCCTGGCTAGACTTTGTAGTCCCTGTTGGGCTGAAGCAGCACCCCTATTGTTACTAGACCCAGGCAAAGGGGGGAACAGTGACTCATCCCCAAGCCTCGCAGCGCCCCTTGCACTCTGATTGAGAGCTAGTGCATACCTGGATTGCTGCTCTGATAATGAAGGAAATGAGGTTTCATCATGAAAAGAATCAACGCTGTTGTCAGGAATATCTGGGTCTAAAAGAGGTGGGAAGGACAACTGTTCGAGCACTCGTCCAGTCCTGGAGCCTTGGCCAACTTCAGCTCCCCCAGAATTAGATCCAATACTTAATGACTGAAACGACCCTGAAACATTATCAAGACGGCCTGAGTGGCCATCGGCGCCGTTTTGTGCAGATGATGAGATATGACTGTCAGATCCATCATGGAGAGCATTACGCCCCCTACCTCTGCCACGCCGTTGTTCTTGCTCATTTCTTCGATATATAAAACTGGTAGGTATCTGAAAGAGGCAAATTAGAAAACTTAGTCTGAATGAACCAAATAAATTAACAAAATAAACTGAATCTTTTACCAAGAACTTATACATTGGATAGAGGGAAACCATGATAGGAAACGAAAATACTAGAACCAGGTTCACACCTGAAGTGCAGCATTCCTCTGAGAACGAGACATCCGCCCACCGTGCTCCATAGCATTATGCCTCTGTTGAAATACACTACTCAATAAGAACCAAAAAAAACCCTGGTACATGTGGTTAAGGGCTGATGAAAATTAGCAAATCAATAACTAGTAAAACTTGCCTTCAGCTCCACTTCACTCGGGAAGACAACAAACTTCTGTGCCAAACATGCTTCATCTTCACAGAGGAAATGATCTTTTCGAAAATGCATCTGAATTGAATTGAGAGAGCATATATGAGAATGCAGTTATGACCACTTTCCCAAGGGACTCAAGAGCCCAGCTAGGCGCCAAAGTAAAACTGTAGATGCAATGCACCTGAGCTAATGGGTAGGGGAAGAACTACAACTAGATTTGCTGCATATATGCTGGATATGAGATAGAAGCCTAAATAGATCAATTTGGTACAACATACCTCAAGGTCATCATAGTTCCGAAAATAGTCATACTGCCCAGGATGCTGCCTATAAACAACAATCATAAATTCAACACAGCGAATAAATCGTTGCATAAGCTTACCTAAGGACAAAGGTTGCAGTATACCTCTGGCATATGTGGCAAGAATAGTGTTCCCTGGACATATGCATGTAAAGCTCATTATCTCCATAAAATGAACTTTTGCAAAACTCACACATTGGATGCCCAGCAAAACCGTTGCGCTCTACCTCAGAGCCATCCACTTCAGAGTCACCAGTCTTCATATGTTGAGCTAACTGTGACCTTGAATAAAGCTTTTGTTCACAAATGAACACCTTCAAAACACATACAAACCATTTCAATAAACAATCATGAATATGAAAATTGTAAGTGCAATTTAGAGTGCAAATTACATGACCCCAGTTCTACAATGTTTGAATATAGGACAACAATGAACAATAAAAAAAATTTGTGAACACTCGTATGACAGTAATAAAGCAACCCAACATGTATGCAGGTGTAAGAACATGCACACAAGGCAATGGACATGTTAACGATGTGATTGCATCTGCATAATGGAGGTAGAAAAACAAAGATAATATATCCGAATCCAAATATAGATGGTTTTAGCATTCTATCTGGTCAATAAAATTCAACTTGGTCCATAAATATATGAAAATTTTGGCATTACACAGATTCCCAAAAACTTGTTGATGATACTTGATTCATCATTGAAAATGCTTTCATGATATATATGAGTTTCACTATAAAATGGTATATTATATTAACAAGACTTGCAAGTCAAACTGTCACTCTGGAGACAGTGGGCTAGTGTGTGTGTGTGTGTGTGTTTTGACAACAGACTGTGGGCTAGTTTGGTTCACTCCTGGACAAAGCCGCCTGGACCAGGCAGCAATCCCTCAGACACCTGCATCTGGCAATGCTGCCTGGCCTGGGAGCTACCTGCCAGGGCTTGAACCAAACATGCCATGTGTCACTTTCCTAAACAACCTACATTGAATCAGAGAGAACAGCGTTGCATAGTTTCTTGACCAAAGACGAAGTCACATAAGCAATGGATATCACAATGTCAAGCATGCTAGTTGTAAACAATAATCAGGTATTCAGGTTAAATAGTTCAAATAGGCTATTCATTTCAACTGTATCCAGTGGGTTGAGATGCATATATTCTGAAAAAACATCATCGAATAAAACCATGTTATATAAATAAACAAAATAAGTTCTACTCATTACACCAAGCTAAAAAACTACATGAAGGAAACAGTATTTTTCAATTTCAAAATATATTTTATTGTTTTCACCAAGACATAACAGCTCACTAGGTATGCTATAGCATAGGTACCAAGTACCAACATCATATACGGAAGCCAAGATAAACAGTACAGCACTGTACATGTACAATGTAGGGGCCTATATAAAAGAAAACATTATGCATGAAACATGGACCAATGAAAATCACATATAGATCATTCAAAACATGTGTCTAAAGTTTGATGCTAAATTCGACAGCATAATCCATGAAATCAACTAAGAGGCGGTGACATTTAGAAACGCAGATTAGTGGTGATTCCTAACACACAATATGCTAGTTCATCAAGTATTTCACCTTCCTCCCCTCCAAGCAAAGATTGCACATGTGCAACCTATGTTGATGGAATAAATGTCCCTTTAGTTGATCGATGCTTCTGAACTTGCTTCTGCGCTTTGCTTGAGCAGCAAGGGCAACCTGATCTTCTGCACTGTCACAAACACTACAAGAAAGTCGACACATTGCCCGTATCATCCGGTAGTAGTCCGCGTCGTCAAAGTATGCCTGTGTATCCTCATGGTACCAGAAATCCCCAGCTTTGCCCTCATTTACCCCACTGGGGAACACTGAGAAATCAGTCACCACTCTAGTGTATTCACCCATGGCCTGTGAAATAGGAAAATAATATATAATTATATTCACATGGATACTGTTCATATGCAATCTTAATGTTTTTTTTAAGGAAAAAATCAGTTCAGAACAGTATGTTGACATTTTCTAAATTGTTTTGGCAACATACAGTTTACAACGATTCAATGTGCAAAAGGCTGGATATACACATAGAAGCTCACATAAATCATGACAGAGACTAGCTCAAAGCCCCAACTATACAGGCAACCAAATCATGATCATGAGACAACCTATATGCTGATCACATCAGGCTACAAGACATCAAAAGCAACGTATATTCATGCTATTACCTAAAACGTTCATGATACCAGTCGCGGAACGAGATCCTTCAAATCTAATTCCACTAGCAAGAACCAATCTGGCAATCCAACCGAAACCCTAGATGACCCCAAGATCCAACGGCGCACCCCACCACAGATAAGGAATTAGTCCCGTCTGGAGAGAGCAAACCCTAGAGGAACGAACCTTAGTGACGAAGACGAAGGGGCAGACGGTCTTGCAGATGCAGCACTTCTTATCGTCCATCACGAAACGGAGGCGGGCGACGCAGGTGGAGCACACGTCGCGGTGCCCGCACGATCCGTACGCCACCCACTCCAGCGTATCGGCGCACACCACGCAGAAGTCTTCCATGGCTGGCGGGCAGCGGAGATCGGCCCCGGCGGCGGCAAGGCAAGGAAGAGGATGCGAGGGTTAGGGAAGAGGATGCGGGGTTAGAGCGTGTATGAAGGGGGAAGACGAGAAGGCTCGAGGAGTCAAGAGGCGAGTTTGTTTTTTTTTTCTGTATAATAAACGGTTATTTTTATCCGTACCGTAATTTTCGAAGTTTCGAGATCTGCCAACTGTCATTACCATTCATCTATTTTGAAATTTACCTTTATAATTCGTTGTCCAGGTAATATGTGCCATTTTCTACGTCTCCTGGGTGCCTAGGCCATTTTTACGCGTACACATCTTCCGTATAGACCAAAACACCTCTGTTGCTTCTCTCTTCCTCCACTCACTGATATGTGGGCCCACAAGTCATTTTCTCCTTCAACCTCCGGTCATCCTCCACCACGCAGCGGGCGCAATACGGGGCGGCAGCGGTGGCCTCGAGCTGGAGCAGCTCGTTGCTTGCGGCGGAGAAGACGAAGACATGGCCACGAGAGTCCCTAGCGACGAAGTACTTGGTGAGCCCGTCGGGGTCCTCGTATGGCAGTGTGGCCGCTGCCGCGGCGTACGCGCCCTCCCCAAGCCGCGTGGCCGCTGTGAAGTGGCAATGCTCGAACCATACGGGACGACGCTTGGTGACCGCCACGCCTTGTGGGGAGCGTCGGTCCCCGACAGCCGTCGCCGCGGGGGTAGCCGACGGCGGGGGATCCCCGGGTCCGTGGATCTGGCCTGAGCGTGGACTCTAGCAAGTGGACGGACCTCGTGAGTGACTCTACTAGCTCCTCCACCCTCGTGGGCTACGTCGCGTGCCGCTCCAGTAGCGCGGCCTTGGCCGCCGCCTCCACCAGCGCTTCCTCCGACACGGCGACGAGCGGGAGGGGGAGGAGGGCAGCGATGCGATGGGGCATGGCCCATCGACGAGGACTCTGTCGTGCTGGTTGCTGACGCCTCCATGTGCAGCACCGACGACACCTCCTCCACGCCGAACAGACCGTCGTCGTCGTGAGCTGAACCACCCACTTTCCCTGACGACCAGCCTCTGATTGAGCACCCTACGACAGCGGAGTTGGAGATGCTAGCAGCATAGAGGACAGAGAGGTAGGAAGCAGGAGCCCGACTTCTATCATTGGCCGCGGTAGTGGTGAGATGCACGGGTGGTGGCGAGGGAGATGGGAACCATCGGCAAGAGAAGGAGACGAAGGGGCCTACGTGTCAGTGAGTAGAGAGAGGGGTGTAGGTGAGGCTAATATCGTCCATACGAAAATAGTGTATGTCCCGTACATCTGACAGTGGGCCTCGGCATCCAGGAGATGTAGAAAATGGCACGAATCATGTAGACGAAGAATTATAATGGCAAGTTTCAGAATAGATGAATTGTAATGGCAGATCTCAAAACTTTGAAAATTATAATGGTATAGATCAAAATAACCCTATAATAACGTTTCTTCGGGCATCCATGAACCCCGATTCCCGTAGTTCTTCCTCTTCATGACGTTTAGGGGTGCACCACATAGCAAATTACCTAAATTGCAATTTTCTGTTTGATGGAAAACAACTTAAAAGCATCTAAGCCCCTAGTTGGGTTTCAGTGATTAATGACAATACGTGATTACTGTGACTAACGTGTGTTTTGCAGAGACAATTAAGTTAGGTCACGATAATGGAAATTGATTGGTCAATCATGGTTGTCATGCCCCTATGATGAAAATCATTTTAGTTTTCAAAGGATAGACGACAAGGTTAAGGATGAACTAGTTCTAAGTGTCGTCTGTGTGAATCATATGATGACATGGCAAGTGTACCACATCGAATGTCATGCCAACCACATCGGCGCAAACCCCTCCATGTGTCTGGCGCCGAGTAGCCGATAGAGAAAGCCTTACTTTAATTTCTTGATCCACCCAGTCATTGGGGGGGAGGCAAGACATGTGTTTAGTGTGGATTGTGTTGCTTGAGAAGGCCCTTCCTCAGCGCGCTCTGTGTAGCTAACATATAGGCTATCGCTGCGAATTGCGGAACAAGTTAGGCTCAAAATCAAGGAGAAGACTGAGTAGACCTGCAGAAGAGTTTGCTTATACAAGATTGTTGGAAATTGGAGTACACACTCCACTCTCCACATCATGTATGGCACTGCCAGATCACTGAGGAATACAGGAATGACAAACTCAGGGGAGGGGCATAACGAGTCTTCTTCTGATATCTACCAGCGTGCGCCCTCCTTTGCTCCACAAAAGGGAGGCTGAATTCCAAGAGTTAGGCAGACCAATGCCCTCGATAACTCTTGGGCACCTGCGGAACCAAGGAGGCAGCCCATGCAACAACGAAACATAGGGAAACTATCCATGGTGGTGGCAGAAACTCTCAGCTTCCATATTTTATGAGGATTCTCCTAGTGCCTCGGGCACGGAGCACCGCTGCTCCAAGGCATCTCGGAAGGCTCATGTGTAGCGCATTCTCTCAGAATAAGCACCAGACTCTTGGGACCCTGGGAGGAGAAACCATGGTGGGTGTTCTATGAGCTCACTCGACTATGATCTGAGCATGTAAAAATATCTGCTATGGCTTGTCGGGGGAAAGACCACATAAGGGATGCCTTTTAAATACTTCGTCAAAGGTGGTAGGTGGATCCGATGGCGGGTGGTCCACTTGCTCCGACATCCCGGTTGAAATGAAGATTGAACAGAAGATGGGGCAACATGGATTCTTTGGGACTCCACGTCCCTATCTTTGTTAGGTTTTCATGGAGAGCACAACTCAAGAGGTTGAAGACTATGTTGATGGCGAGTGAGATTTGTGGACTGGACAAACGACTGACCCTCACGATGATCTCCAGGGCTAGTGTCGTCCCTATGGGCCACGGTGTAGGGTCAAGATGGCAACTAGAGGGGGGAGGGATGAATAGTCATTTCTAAAACTTAATCGTGTCGGCTAACCGAAACAAGTGCGGAACTAAAACTATCGGTCTAGCCAAGACTATACCCTTGTGTGGGTGCTCCAGCGAGGACTAGTGGGGAGTGGCGACTCTCTGATACCTCGACAAAACATCGCCGCGTTCCTCCTTCTCTATTTACTTTAAGCATTTACTTTGAGCAATTCAATTCTTGTCTTTACATGCATAAAATTGCCATGCTAGAGTAGGATTGGAACATAGGTTGCTAAACTTTTGTGCGGTAGAACAATATGAACACTTTCTAGGTACAAGGGGTGAAGTAGGCTAACCATAGGGTTTAATTATTGCAAAGAATTTTAGAATTAGCTCAATTCACCCCTCCCCCTCTTGGACATCTTAATCCTTTCACAACCTAAGTTGTGGGTTAGTCTTGATGATCCTGCTCTGTGGGTTAAAGTTTTGAGTTATATATTTTTCGTCTATCGCAGCCCACTAGTTTCAGTTTGTCAATTCTATGATTTGTTGTTTGATCCTGCTACGCTAAGTTAGAACATTGATCATCGTACGAAATGTGATAAGTCGTTACATAGTTATTTGTAAAAGATGTGCAAGGTCACACAAACCTATGCCACTAGTATTTCAAGCAATGAGAGAGCTCCTACACATGCTAGTAAGCAAAAGCACAAAGCCAATTAAACTCACTAGCAATGCTCAATAACAAGGCAACCAATGCCAAATTAGAGAGCGCAAATACTTCGCTACACAAACTAAGCAAAGTGACTAACAAGGTTACACAAACCAAATTAGCCATGCAAGGGAGCTACTTCTATGCTACACAAGCAAGAAGGTAACTAGTGAGCTACACAAGCTAACTAATTACAAGAGCAACTACACAAGCACAATGTATATAAAAGTAATCACAAGCTTATGTAAGAGGATTGCAAACCAACGGGAAGAACAAGGTTGACCCGGTGATTTTCTCCTGAGGTTCATGAAACATCCTCAATTTTCCACGAAGGGAAAATCCACAGAATGAATTATAATATGATAAAACCAATAGTTGATTCCATCATATTATCATATATCAGTCGATATCACTGTCATACTTCGTAAGATTACAAGATAAAAGATATTACATCACTGAGGAACACACCTATTACAGAGTTAATCTAGCGGAAGTCTATCGAGTGAAGGCTCCTCCTTCACGGGCATCATCAGAGTTGACGTAGTGCAGCGTAGATTCCATCTCCGAATCAAACTTGAGCGTAGGCATGAGACCTCCTAATCCTTTTAAAGTCAGCATCACTGAGAAGCAGGAAATCTACACACCGCCAGATGTGTGCAGGCCATGGTCAGCACCGATGAGCTTTAGTGGAAAAGATAAACAAGGGATCTGGCGATCCCAATATTTGGCTGTGGTTTGCATTCTTAGCGCATGAAAAGTAACTAACATTAGTAATAATAATATCCAATTTTTAACACATTCACCCCCACACCATCCATATCCATCCACCAACCATCCATCCCAAACCATCTCCACACCACCACACCATATCTCATCTCACACACTCAGGTCGACAGGCCAACTCCCTCTCGGACTTGTCTCAACGGCCCGCAGCCCCAAGGCTCACGACCGGAAAATACCCCAAACCCTGGAGGGAGAATAGAAGGACTCATCTCGCTATCTAGTTTAAGCGAAACCCAGGAAAGGTCCATAGCCGACAAGTCGGCATATGTATCGATCGATCAACCAAACACTATGCATAGGTTTTACATACCCACAAGATTAGCCATCCTTGGAGTCTTGCTCTCCTAGGCAGAATTCCGGTCGCTTGCTAGCCTAGAACGATGCCACCCTACCTCTCAGCCCTGGAACATCCCAAGTCTAGTCTGGGATGGCTGATACTGTAAGTCGTAGACAGAGCCAGGGCCCTCCGGATGTCAAGAGCCGGGTCCACAAGGCCTCCTGAAGTCTCGGAAGGGTGTGGGGGAAAACCGCGCGCCCCGTACCTCCTTGCACACGTTCGCCTAGCAGTAGTGGCATCGCTCTACCAAGTAGTCGACCGTCCCGCACCATATAGGGCGAGTG